TTTCAACCTGTCTTAAAGCAGACACAATTATTATTTGTTTTGCTTAGGAGAAAATTGAGCCCAGAAAGGTTAATAGCATGCACAATGAGGCACAGCTAATAAGTGGTGTTGCCAGGCTGACTCCATCAACATAACCCAAATCTTATTCCCTGTCTGCTGTTATCAGCCATCATCCAAGTGGAAGCAAATGGCGCAATGCCAATATGAATGGGTCTAGTCAAGAATAACCAGATTTAGATATCCAAGAAATTGGAAATTTTTAAAAACTTGGCTTGTCACACTTAGGAAGAAGAACTGGAGATAACGCTTCTTGGGTTTGGTTTGTGTCCTGTTATAGGCAAAAAAAAAAAAAAAAAAAAGAGAGAGAGAGAGAGAAAATATAGATAATTTGTCATTTTTAAAGCATTTACCAGGCACCTATTTCATGCAAAGCAAAACAGAATTAGTTGCTGCTTCCTGAATGCAGTCCCCTGTCCCAGCATTAGCCTGCTTCATTTCCCTGTCAGTGTCCTGTTCTGGAAGCAAACACCTTCAGGGTCTGTCTTCTTCAAAACTATATGCCAAGCACCTGGTACAGCCCTGTGTGTAAGGGAAGAGGAGTGGTAGACCGTGAGGTCTGGGGAACAGAGATGAGTGAAACATCCTCACTCTTTAAAGAGTTTATGGTGCAATAAAGAGCAGCATGCTCATAATTAATACAGTAGATGAGAGGAAGGAGAGCAAAGATGTCAAGAGGGAGGGGTAGAGGACTGAGGAGGCCTTAAGTTCTAAAGGAGAATTCTGGTGTTATCATGGGCATTATGAGGTCACGGACACAAATTAGCCTTATTGGTTTGAATGCCAGGGTTACATGCCAGCTTTCTGTCCAAAGAGCTCTGTTACCTAGAGGTTCTGTGACTTTGGTGAAGTAGGTTATTTTCTCATCTCTCAAACTATTTTCTCATCTTTAAAATAATACATCCACTTCAGAGCTTTTTGGGGAGAACTAATATAATCAAAGTATATAACACGGATACTAACTCGCAGATTCTCAGTAAACATCGACCCCCCTTTAAATGATCAGAGCACTTTTACATCTCATTTAAATGTTCTGAGTGTTAGCATTCTGACTGAAAAGGCTTTAAAAGGGAAGAGTATTGGGGGAAAAGAGAAGGGATTAAGACTAAATGGACACAATAGTGTTAGATTGTTTTAACTTCTTTAAAAATGTTATTTTCAGTATTACTGTAAAACATAAAAAGGACATTATGCAATTTTCCTACCTGCTTTCTTCTTTATTTCTAGAGCACTTCTAACTGTAAACTTGATTTTGTCGCTGATAAGCTAGAGATAGCCCTCCCCTCTCTTTCTGCCTCCTACCGTCTTACACAGACACCCACGTACAAGCACACAACACACAGGGTTATATTTGTAAACCCAGATCTTGCTGTCTTTGATGAAATTACTTGTGCTTGTTTAATTTTCAAAAGAATCAAAGAGGAGGGTAGGCTCTTTTGAACACAGAATTTGTGACAAACAGGATTGTCAAAGCCAAAAAGTGGAGAGTAGGATATATGCAGTACAACAGAGTCCAGTGCAATGCAATGCAATGCAATGCAATGCAATGCAATACAATACAATACTTCCCCATTTGTAGTGGGGAATGTAAGCACTATTGAATATGATGTACAACAGACATTTCAAAAGTGTGGCAGTAAAAAATTTGGAGATCTAATGAGTCATGCAGTGAGGAGACCACAGCTTATTTTTAAAGCAAGTATCCTGTTGTGGTACATGAACTGGGGCAGCTAGCAAAGCCTTACCAAGTTCTGATCACGTACAGACTTAGGTATTAGAGAAATGTTTCCAGTGTACAACACAGCTGAAGTGGAGCGAGCCCAGAGGCTGTCCAGAAAACAATGAAAATAACAACAGGCTTTGGGAGTGACGGTGACTAGGCAGAAATAAAGCCTTGAAATTAGACAAAATATTGAGCCTTGGAAAAAGAAGTCCTAGAGGAGGAATGTGGTTGTTTGTTTTCATTAAAAAACCTTAATATTAAAACAGTCGATTTCAGTACCTACAGGCATTTATAACTGAATTCATTTCACAATTGTGCTAATTTCCTCATTTGTTATTTATTCATTCATTCATAAAACGTTTATTGAGCACCTATCGGGAATGCCTCTGCAGATACTATGTTAGGAACAGGGAAGTCCAGGGACAGTGAGACTGGCTTCTGCTGTCAGCTCAGTCTAATGCGGATGATGGGCAGCTGCACAAATACCTGCAATTAGGTGTGATGAGTAGCAAAGTGGTCAAATGAGATAGGAGAGTGGCACTGAATTAGAAGCTTAAGGCGGGTCAGTTGGAGGTGGCAGTTCAGGTTTTTATCATGGTAGCGAAGTCATCCAAGCTGTAAAGGTGAAAGTCCTGGGAACAGATGGCAGATTCAGTGGTTGGGGGTGGCTAGGGAATGGGGAGAGGGGGCGATGCGTGTGATATTTATCAAGTGGCACTGTGGAGCAGGGATCAGAAGAAGCTAAGAGTTACTCTGTCTCAGGGCGGATTATCTTCTCTGACATATGCTGATGGGGGCCGGGAGCTGTAAGGCAAAGCTCTGACCACTGCTTGCACTGTGGTGCTCTACTAACCTACCATGAATGTGCAGGAATACACTGGGATCCATGTTTGTAACAGCAACATATCTACCTTATTGGAATTGCTAAGTAAATTACAGTCTACATTATGGAATGTGATTAAAGGTATTAAAAAAACATGGTATTTATAGATTTGGTTGAAGGTAGGGAAAGATTCAAGTTAGGATCCATTATTTATATATATATATATGTACATACACATATACATATATATATATATTCATATTCAAATGGTGTGGGAAATATCTGGGGAAGTCCAGCACACCACCATCTATGTGCCTTGAGGATGAGAGGCAGGGAAAAACAGCAGTGAGGAAAGAAAAGGTGGGGGAAGGGAGAAAAGACTCGAGAACCTCTCAATTTTGATTCTTTGTTTTTCTATATAGTTCAAATTTTACAACATCCGTGGAGCTTGTTTTGTAACTTACAGAAGGTGAAATAACGTCCCAGATGCCCGTTGAGCACAGCCTCTGCCACATGGCCAGCTCTGCTGATTCTTTCAGGGTGGCAAAAAAAAATACGACTTGCACAAAATAATTTAAATCTGCACACAGCATTACATTGGTGGTCGTAAATGTTTTCTCTCTCTGCTAAAATGCAATGAAGTAAATATCTTAAATTATGGTCAGTAGATTTTAGTTTAAATGTGTGTTCTGCTTATTTAGTCATTTAGGACTTAATTGTTCAAAGCTAAGTTTGAAACAAGAAGCCTTACAAACCTAGATGACAGCAGACTTAAGCACTAAAAAATTTCTCATCAACCGCAATGGTTTTATCTTTATGAAACTATACTTTAAAAATATTTAATATTCAGAAGTCATTTGTTGGCTATCATTGAAAACCAAAGTCAAATTTTTCCTTTTATGAAATCTCATGCCACAGTACCTAGTAGACAAATATTTAGAAAACTGAGTTGAAGTTTGATTGTGTAGAGCTTTTTATTTATAATGAATGTCAAACACACTGTAAGTAGATCATCTTAATTATATTCATTTAGTCACTCTTGTTTGTATGAAAAGTTACAAATAAATTGAATTGAACATCAAATTATTTTTGAAATGTACTAAGAACCTCTGTTAAAATTCTTCAGATGTGGGGGTTTTTTGTAATTAAAAGACTCATTTATAATTTGAGTTAACATTTTCACATTTCTCTTGTGGGTAAATTAAGCCTTTTAGCTACTAGATTTTCCTAAAGCAAAACACTATTGTGCCAAAGAAATGATAGAACAAGTTGTGATCAAGAATATGAAAACTTAAAAAAAATATCAGAACTTCAAAAGCTATTTCTTTTTTACATGCTGACTGTGTGAATAAGTATCTTAAAACCTATGTTTTATATTTTTATTGTATCGACATCTGGCAAAATTTTTTTTTCTGTGAAGAAATAATATGGTATAAAATACTTATATTTTCTTAATTTTTTAGATCCATATATTTTTCCAAGTTTGAAAATTCCTAAAATATATTTCACATGAGAGAGTTCTCTGTCCCCATTTGTGTATCTTAGAACTGATGAACTTTTGGCACGAGGACATTTTGTATTAGAGTTATAGGGCAAAATTGAGGTGTGTTCCCCAGTGACCAACTCCCAGCAGCACCCCGAGCAGAGGAAAACCTAGTGAAATTAAACGGTGTTTTTTATACTAGTCATCATTGATCACTTGATTCTTTGGTGCACTAGCTGAGGGTAACTGGAGACTTACTTAAATCTTTGAGTATTTCCATGGATTTTTTTCACCTTCTCCTTTCTAAATTAAGCTTTTTATTTTGAGATCATAAGTTCACATGCAATTATAAAAAATAGTACAAGTAGCTCCCATGTACCTTTTACTCAGTTTCCCCAATGATAACATTTTAGTAAAACTGTAGCACATTATCACCACCAACATACTGATATTCACATAGTTCATCAAACTTATTTCAGTGTTTCCACTTTCATTTATACTTGTGTGTGTCTAGTTAGTCCTATGGCATTTGATCACACGCACAGGTGCCTGTGTCCACTGCCACGGTCAATGCAGAGGACATTTTCATCACCATAAGGCTACTTTCTATTGCCCATTATTACCACACCCTCCTCTTCCCCCATGGACTTTTCACAGATTGGACTGGCAGTCTATTCCCTGGCAATATTTTGGGAAATAACTAATTTGTTCTTTTCCTCTTCTGAATGTCTGCAAATAAATAATACAAAGGAAGTGAACAGCGTTCCACCTTCCTGGAGTCGTGTGCCTTCCTGTTGCTTGGCAAAGGGAACCAACAGTGGGGGCAAAGGGCCGCCTCTAGGGCAGGGGCGGGCAGCACTTCTAACTCTCTGGAGGCACAGAACCAAATTTGCCACCTTTGTTTTCCTTCCCAGATTACGCTCGATTTGAGGCCAAAATCCATGACCTACGAGAGCAGATGATGAACCACAGCATGAGCTCCGGGTCCGGGTCCCTGCGAACCAATCAGAAACGCTCCCTCTATGTCAGGTAGGCAACAGAGCATTTCTTACTGTGATCTGCACTTTGTGAGCAGTCCTCTTGGGGGACAGAGGAACACCTTGTAGCAAAGGATCATGTGTTCTTATTAACCCACGTTCATCAGTACACCACTGTAAGACCTTAAATTTAACCAGTTTTGAAGAAATTTTTGAAATGCCATTATGTTAAATTAGCAAAAGGCCCTTTTTAAAAACAAGTTATTCTCTGAGCATGTTATGATCCAGGGTAAAGTTCTTAGCAGGTTGCAGTAAAAATAATGAGAAAAGATGTTTTTAATTTTGATACGTCTTAAATTGAGTATGTGGACCAAAGCTCTGGGTATTTGCTCACCATCAGTATGGGAAGCAGGTATTCTCGTATCATCTCGGTATTCCCGAGACCTGCTTGATTTCTACTGCATTAACTTTGGTGTATTGATTTGACATGAGACATACTCTTGTATAGAGTTATGTGTTTTCCCTAAGACATTTTGGTAGAAAGACTTTCTTCTGTGGCACCTAATTACCGATCATTTCTCAGACCATAAAAGTTACTTGTTCCTTGCCTGGAAAAAAACTCATTAATTTACCATACCAAAAGAAAGATTGATTGAACTTGAAATGCCTTTCAGTCTTTCATCCTCATAGTTAATTAACTCTTGAGAAAGATCCATCCTCACTCAACTATAACATGTGCCTCTTTTTAGCACAAGCCTCCTATGTCCCTTCCAAAATATACTTAACCAGTGCTGACTGTCCTTTAAAAAATAATGTAAGTATGAGTGGCCACCAAGGGCAAGTGGAGGTTAATTAATGATCGAAATGAATCCGGGTACCAATGGAGGATCCATGTCCCTTCTCACTGTTTTCTCTCCTTCCTGCCAAGGAGGGAGACTGGTCTGACTCCCAGAATCTGGTCTGACTCCCACCTAAGGGTGTATTCTCCTCACCTGAAATGCCACTGTCTTGTTCTAGAGACACTAAATGATGTACTTGAATTGACTTGTCCTATTGATTCCACTTTGGCTATGAAGTCATCTCCTGTGTGTCAGGGAGGCACAGCAGGGCCACGAAGGGAACAGCATTCTGGGAGGCAGCAGGTTCTCTTTGGCCTTGACTGGCCAGCCATTCTGACAAGCATAGAGTCCCTTCTCATTCCAGACGGTTCCACTACCCCAGAAGCCCAAAATTTTTAATTTTAAAAAGTCGGAATATTAACATCCACATTTGTGCAACCGTAGTTTGGAAGATTATTCTGATATGTGTCTGTGTAATCTGTGGAAGGAATTCCTGAGAAGCACCCTAGAGCATGTCTTATAATAATATCACAGATATGATGGGAAGTGGCTGTATCTGTTTTCCTCACTTATGTTTTATTCCTGGTCTTTGTGATACAAAATATTTTTTAAAATTTTGAAGTGTTAGCCTTGGGTAGCAACTTGGGAAAGCTAATTAGGTTAATAAGCTAGAGATAAATCAGTTTATGAAAACAATGATTATATAGAATAAATCTGGAAGGGAAAATTACCATAATGTTGGTATCTTGTTAAAAATAGAATGCACAAAATATTCATGTACTAGAAGAAGTTTCCTGAAAATATATTGATAATAATTTAGTCCTTTTAATAAAGTTGTAGATTAGAAAAATTAAGTGACATGATATTACATAAAACTAACAGACTTATTTGAAAGAGTAGTGTTCATCATAATCAAACCTTTATTCTCTAATGTGGTAATTAAAATATGTCATAAAAAGGTTGGAATACTTAAGGTAACAAAGAATGTTATCCTTTTAACATTCTAACAGTTGGACATTGTATTGAAATGAGAAACTGCTTTTAAGTGAGGTGCAAAACTAGCTAACATTTTATGAGAAATTCTCCAAATGATTTCCCTACAAAATGCAAAAGTGGTATTTGGTTTCCAGTGTTCAGTTCTCATTAATACTTATTTTGTGGGTAGAGGGCTGACTGCAGCATCTAAATGACTCCTGGAGCCACAGAATAGGAAGAGATACAGGCCATGCAGAGAGTGAAAATCAGAGGGAAAGAATGTCTTAGAGCACCCCTGGCCTTGTTCTCATGTGAAGACCCAGAGACCCCCAACCCCTGCCAGAAAGCAAAAGGGCAGTGAAATGAAATGCACTAGCAAGGCCTTTGGGGAATCCTTACTAAAAATAATTCTGTAAGTTTGTACCTTTGTTGTTTAGGTTTTTTAAAATTTATAGCAATTTTGGCTATAGGATTTTCACAGAGATGCTTGCTATATCTAGAGTACCTGAATAGAACTGCTGCCAGTTGGTTGTGCTTATTTTACACAACCAACTAGTTGCTCTCTCAAAATAAACGAGAGCCGCGTTTCTCTGATTATGTAACTATCAGATAATGAGCATGTCCCTTTGATCTGAGAATGGCATCCTGGAATATTTATGTAATTCTAGAGCTGGAAGGAACCCTAGCTCTCTCCAGATCTGGTGTTGAATTTGCAGAAGAGGAAACTGAGGCCCCAGGAAGAGATTTGCCCAGGACCCCACAGCTATTCTAGATCTTCTACTCCCTTCTCCCTACACCACTCTACCTCCCAAGGGTGCAGCTGATGGGAATCTGATGTCTAACGCACTTTAGCTGTGATTCCCAGTCTCTTCTGTCAGCACTGCACCACTCTTACTTAGATTAAGGAATAGGTAAACTGAGAAGAGAAATTCAAACATAAATCTCTTTGGGTTTTACAGAGGATAAACTGTGCTTCAGAACATATGGGATTCCTTTGGTATCATTCACATATTTCTATAAAGCAAAACCTAAACCAGAAAGCAAGCAGCCTCTTTGTTCTGTAATAAACAACTGATCGGACTTAGTAGAGTATTTTTGCTCACCATAAACCACCCTTCCCCTTGTAGTTGTCTTCTCTCTCTCTCTCTCTCTCTCTCTCTCTCTCTCTCTCTCTCTCTCTCTCTCTCTCTCTCTCTCTCTCACTCTCACTCTCACTCTCATTCATTCTCCCCCCACCCCCACCCCCACCCCCAGCCTGCCTTGACCTGGCTATGCCTGGGAGGATGAATGCATCTCGGCATCATGCAGAAACTGGCCTCATTCTCCGATTAGAAACGATTCTCCCAGGTGATAGCTGTCTGAGTTGAAAGGAGGCAGAGGGAACTACCATCACACCTGAGCCAGGGAGAGTTTTAAATTTGACCCAACTCTCTATCTTTTCCAATCTAGTTGTATTTTTTTTCTTCTATTAATCTTCTGTGTAAGTTGCTTGAAGTACTTTGGTAGTGTTGTACACACAGAGTTGCTTGCTCTTAATGATATAATTATGCATGTTCTATGGGAATGATTTGGATATATTTGATTTAATGGGCTATTTGTATTGTGTATTTCCCGCATTGTGAAACATATCTAGCTGTAGAACCTTCAAAGTAAATGAAATGTTCTAAGTTTGAATAAAATATTTTTCAAAATGCTCCCCAAGTACATTATCAATTCTTGAGACGTACATGAACTTGGCTCCTAAGCCACAGGAATACAGATTTTGTTGTATGTACTTTGAGCCTCTCCACATGGGCAGATGGAGGTCTCGCTGCCTCTATAGTATGTGTTCCCCTTCTTACCTGCCAGCTGTTTAAAAGCATCCCCATGACAGAGAACCAGGCTTTTACTGCTGCTGATAGGAATGGGTCTTTTTATTCAAGTGCTATTAAGAAAGGTCAGAGATATAAGGGGATTACAGTTACACAAAAGTGCAACAAGCCAAGGAAAGATTCTTTTTCCTGATAAAAGAGAGCAAAAGTACACATGACACTGAGGAGAATGGGGAGGGGAAGAAAGAAAAGAGGGTAAGTCTTCCAATGGGGAGTGAAAGGTCACAGGGAAGACTGTAAAAGACAAACTTGGCCCACGTTCATTTGTTAATAGAAGGTATCAGTTTTGAGAGTTCAAGTGAATAACCTCTCTGCTGTGTGTGAATTTGTGTTTCAAAGGCAGTTGCTATGACTTACTCATGCATTCATGGAGCGTTTGTTTAGTGTGTGTCCTGTGCCAGGACCTGGAATGGAGACCTAGGACCCAGCACTAAAAGTCACGTTTCCTGTCTGCAAAACATTCATGCCCAGTGAGTGAGACAGGTGAGGGGAAGGCAATCACAGCACAGTGAGATGTGAAAAGTGAGCTCTAGAAAGGCCTGGAACGTTTATTGCTTCCCACTTAATGCAAGGGTATCTGAATTGGTTCTTCCAGATCATAGATGAGTTCACCCAGAAGCCTTCTACTCTTGTTACTCAAAGTGACAAACACACTCTTCACCGTGACCCAGTGAATACATACACCATATACGCAATGCTCCAAGAAAACTTTCATGAAACTCTATTAATGCTTTTTATGTACAATGTGCTTGGTTATTTTCCATTCTATTTCTCTGCTTTTTAAAATAAAATGAAGGTCACATCTCATTAGCTCAATTTAATAACTCATGAATGGGCCACTATCAAGCAAGGGCTTGTAGACGAGTGAACAGTAAAGAGCATTCCAGGCAGAAGACACAGCGACAGACAGGCTGATCGTCGTTCACTCCAGTACATGTAGCATCTCCGGGATCCCTCACCCTTGGTGTTCTAGCCAACTTGGAAGCCCATTATCCCTGGTGCAGTTGAGTAAGTGGAAGTGAAGGGAAACATTTTGGGGGCAACTTCTAGGGGTTAAGCATTATGCTAGTGTTCAATAAGTATTTTCCCATACAACCCTTCTAACAACCGAAGAGTCAGAGACCACTTCTTCCATTTTATAAATAAAGAAACTAAGACTCAGAGTCATTAAATAATTGCCGTGAGATCACAGGGCTAGTCTGGATGTGAGCGCAGACATTCGGGTCCTGCGTGAGAGGCAGCACAGAGCAGTGTGAGGAGCACGGCTCCTGGATTCCGTCACTTACTAGCTCGATGATTGTGGACAAGTCAGTCTCTCTGCCTTAGCTTCTTTTCCTGTGAAATGAGAATAATAAGACACCATAAAA